ATCCATCAGTTGGAAATACCCAAAACGGGCGAATGGGATAAGAGAGAGAGAGAGAGAGAGAGAGACTAATAAACATACGTTTTGGTGAATTCTTCAACAAAGACCTGTAGTCATCATTGCGTTGCCGGACATCCAATGTAGTACTGTATTTAGTTTCACCATGCGCATTTCTGGCGCACACCTCTACCTCTCCCTTATCCCATTCGCCCGTTTTGGGTATTTCCAACTGATGGATACCGTCGTTACGGATCTTATACTTCGAGCCATTGACCACTTGGTTACCATTGATGAACCACTTGACCAATGGACGAGGACTGCCGACCAGCCGGCAACAAAACTTGGCAGATTCACCCTCGGCAACTACCAGGGGCTCCGGCTTGAGCACAAACACCGGTGCCAGATCACCACCTTGAAATCCCTCGAGTCTGTTTAGTTTGATTAATGTAAAATATTTATTAAATAAATTAGAATTGATTAGGGTAAAATAAAATTATCATTAAAAATATATGTACAGTATGTTATACAAAAAATATAGCATTTTATATTAAATCAATCTTTCATGGTTAATATAAAATAATATTGAATAAAGTTATAGTTATAGCGTTAAAATAATTATTGCCAAAATAAACAATCAAAATTTATTATTATAAAATTAGCATAATTTTTATATAAAATATTTCTTTTAACATAAATTAATTAGTAGTTAGATTAATCACTTATGTTATAAATATAGGCACACTGTAATTAATCGCTATTAATTGTTAACTAGATTACGATAATAATAAACTTACGTTTGGTACGATTGATCCTCCATTAAAGTTAAACACGGTTAAAAACACCAGAGCTTTATTTAGCACAAGCTTAACACATACACAACCAAACTCGCAGCAAAATCATACACTCATATACCAGTGCTCTATGTATTTATATATAACTTATCCGACCGTATGTTACATAATGTGTTTAGTGGTGCCAAAGACTTGTGGCTCAAAGGCCCTCTCCATATGCGTATACAATGGTATACTGTATATACAAGTGATCATAAATAAGCGCTTTATTTTGCACATACTTTACATAGAAAATTATAATACAATACAAAAATACCAGAATATTCTGTCACTTGAATAATACGTGACGAGAGAGAGAGAGAGAGAGAGTCGACGGG